TTCGCCGATCCCGATACTCATCCGAATTCGGCCGCGGTGCGGAATTTCGGGCTTCACGACCGCGATTACATTCGATAAATTCTTCATCGATTTCGCGGAGGATCGCGGAACGAGCGGACGAGTGATCCGCCGAATAAAGCGAGTGGAAGTTGTTATCAGCAAAATCGCCCGTGCCCGTAGATAGCATCGCTCTAAATCATTGTAGCCGGGCCAGTCCGCGCTTTCTCTTTTATGTGGATTTTCTGCAACGTGGACTGCAACCACAATGCGATCAATCAAATCCGTCAGAAAATCGTGACTCACGCTCAACCGAGAATTGGCGTTCCATCAGAGCGGCGCGTTCACAATGGTATCAAAAGATTAGATTGAAATGGTAATATGACGCGTGTTATACGGCTGCAAAAAGAGTCTCGCGTAATGGAAAGAAAAAAAAAAAAAAAAAGAAGGGAAAAAGAACTTGTGCAAAATACATGTTTCATTACAAACGATACGTTCCGATGTATATCAATTCCTTTTTTTTTTTTCCGGTCGCTAATCGTCGTCGCCGGTTACGAATTCCCAACTGTTATTCAATTACGGTGCCGTATGTACAACAGTTAGCCCGACGTATGCACGCTCATTGTGAACGCAAGGTGTGAGCCGCAACCTGGGATCCCGTAGCTAGGGATGCGTTTGTAATTCCATTTACCACATAAGTGGATGGCGCAACGTGCAGATGGCATGCTTAATAAAGTGTACTTAACCGAGTCGAGGCTGAACCGCGTCTCGACCCGGCCTCGATTGCATTCGCGTTTCGTATCTCCCTCCCCCCATCACCCCCCCCCTCCCTCCTCAGACTGGTATTCGAACCTCCGAATGTCTCAGAAGGCGAAGTGCGTCTCACCACGACAACTGTTCATAATTGCATTGCCAATTGTAACAGACGCGTATATATGCGCATGTCGAACGTTTCTTGCAAAACATAAATTATGTTATACGAAATAAGAATAAATACTCGTCTTTCTTTTTTCTTCTTATCCAACATTAATTTATTATTTATAATTTGGCGACTATTGATAATCAACAAAAATTTTAGATATTCTTAACGATCGTACAAAACAATATCTATTTGTTATACTTCAAAGCAAATAGACGCATATAATTTATCAAAGACAGAAAATAATTATTAATGGAAAATATTTTCTTATTTAAAGATTAATTTTAAAACGGCAGTTTGCAGTTTTTAGAAACCAAAATTAGTTAGAGAGAATTATAGATCGCCTTCGCGCCGATTGAGTATGAAAGCTAATAATCGCACTTCGACTTTCCAACGTTCTTGACTCGCCAATAATAACACATCTGCATAAATAACGAGAACGCTTCGCAGCTGCGATTCGTCCAATTATGATCGCATCCTCAAGCAATCATCAACAACATTGCACGCCACTGGAAGACAAACGTGGCCATGACTGCAAATAATTCCACGGTCGATCATACTAGAAATACTAGCAAACTTGCACGTGCACTCGGCATTCTTGGCGTTCTGTCGATGATCATAAGATCACTGTGCTTCCGAGTTCTTGCCAAATTGGCAAGAGACACAGTTTGTCGTTCATAAATTCGATAAGTTATTTGGCAAAAAGAAATAGTACTTAGATTACAAGAAACTCCATTGTCTCGTTTTCATTTTTGGAGCCGCGATAATTAAAAGATAAAAGAATATTTTTCTCTTTATATAAGTATCCTTTTTACTTTTTAATATTTTAACCGCAAATATCTAAATAAGTTGACATATGTAAAGACAAGCTTCATATATAACTGATAAAATATTCTCGAAATCATACAACTTACATGAAGATAAGAAAATGTTTACAAAGATATTTCTTAAAATATATATATATATATATATATATATATATATATATAATAAATAAT